TATTTTTTAAAGGTTTTTTTTGTTGTAGTTTTGTTTTGTTTGTTTGTTGTATTAAAATAACACAAGCCATCACCTGGGTGGACAAATCCAGTGGAATCACAGTGCACTGTGACACCCCCCCACCCCCAGGGCCAAACACTTCTGCCCCCCAAGGGGAGGCCTGGCACCCATAATGCCTTGCTTCGGGTCACCAGGCATCTACTTCCTGTCTTTAGTGCACAACAAGAAAAAAGAAAATGGTGAGCACACACAGATGCACACATGCACAAGACAAGGCTTATTAATATCAGGCTGAAAGTGCTAAGTCTCTGTTACTTTCTTTGTGTTTTATTTCATTTAAGTATTGTAAGAACAAACTTTTCCAAAAATTTTATTTACATAAGATGTTTTTTAAACACATCATTTTTCCTCTTCTGTAAATGCACTACCTGTTAGGTATGATCTTCTGGCAGTTTAGGGTTTTTCATAACGATTTGAATAGTTTCCATAGGGAAATGGGCAATGTTTTTGGCCAAGCCGAGGCATTCTCCGCATAGCGCAAATCAGGCAGTGGGCATAGTAAATAAAAATGCTGCGAGGCTTGCATTGAAGAACAAGACAAAACACACAGAAAAGCAAGAATCCCTTTTCCCATCCTGAACCATCTGGAGTCCAGATCGCTGCTGACCCTAGAATATCAACTAAAACCAGTTACGACTGCGGACAAAGGATCGGAACCGAGCGACCCAACGCGGGCTCAGGGTCTGGTCGGCCTGGCGGGCTGACCGCTCGGTGCCAGCTCCGCTCCGCTTCGGGGTCGGACACAGATGTCTTTGCCAGCCGCCCGGAAGTGAGTCTTGCAAAATCGAGCTCGGCAAAGGACACAGAGGCCTCTCGTCCGAGGCGCTGGGCCAGGCCCGCGAGACCCGGAAAGCAGCGGCTTGGGCGTTTGGGGACTGGGCAGGACGGGCCGGGGCGGGGGGTGGCCGCCTTCACCCTAAAGCACCTTTTAATTTGGCTTTTTCAAAACCAAGTGTACGTGGTATTTTTAAAAACTCGAACGAAGAAGGGAGGGAGGACCCTGACGGGAACAGCAGGGCCGAGGTGGCGGCACTTCCCGGGCTCAGCGTCGGGGATAGCGTGGAGAGGGACACAAGCAGTCCCCGCTGCTCGCTGGGGTTGGCGGGTGCACGGCGGTGACGTCCTCGGCCCTTCCGGACTGCTATCCAAAACGGTTCAGATGCGGGATAGAAACCAGAACGGATCCCGCCTTTGGGAAAGGAATAGGACGCAGGGAGAATCAGCTCAAAAGGCAAAGTAAGTTAGACTACTCTCCCCGTCGGGGAATCGAACCCCGGTCTCCCGCGTGACAGGCGGGGATACTCACCACTATACTAACGAGGACGAGGCACTGTTGACTGGCCTCCGCCTCAGCCTCTATGAATGCCAACTGCTTTTGGCTCGCCCGGGTCTCCGAGCGCTGCGTCTCCCCCTGGCTCCAGGCGCGGGATTCGCTTGGGGCTGCGGTGCCGAGAATGCGGAGCCCGCGAGCTCAGAGGAAGCCCTATAAATCTTCCAGAACGTATAGCGTTTGGCTAGGGGATGTAGCTCAGTGGTAGAGCGCATGCTTTGCATGTATGAGGCCCCGGGTTCAATCCCCGGCATCTCCACTTTGCGCTGTGCACTCTTTTTCACTTCGGCCCGGGTCTGTGATTTTACACCTGTGTCCAGCTTCAGTCACCCAGCAGGAAGAATCTGCTTTTCCAAACCACTGGAGTTTTCAGTACCGATCTCCTGCGGGGTGGGGAGACGGCTCGGCGTGTGGGAGGAGGAAGGACGCCGCCGGCAGTGCACTGTACAGAGGCCGGGGCAGTGCGCGCGTGGGCCCCGACTGCGCGCCGGACTCCAGGGCCCAGCCCCC